ATATTTTGTAATCGTTTTATATACTTAAGGGCGTAAAAGTTAAAATGGAAATATGATAAATCGAAAGCTCGAAAGTTTTGGCTAGCATGTTCATCAATGTTATGTAGTGAAGTCAGCATTTTTGGTTTATCTCTAATTTTTAACTATACATTCTCCTAAAACACTATTCAAAACTGTTTAAAAAAAAATGTGTGTTTTGTTTTGTTTAGTTCGATTGATTATAAAACCCGAATAATCATAAAATTGAGAAAATAAATGAAAGCATAGTTCCACGTACATTACAAAAAATAAAGTAAAAACAAAATACTAAAAATAATAATAAAAACATTTATGTACTTTAGTTGTCTAAAAATGAACTAAAAAACTCACCACCATTACTAGGATCGTCTTCTAGTAAACATTTTGCAAAACTTTCTTAGTAAATAGGCATGCATTTATCTGATTTTTGCAGAGATTTGTGAGTTAGAAAAGGAAAGGTTTTTCAATTTTCATTCATTTATTTATTATTATTATTTTAAGATTTTGGAATTGAAAATGACTAAAATGTTTAGGTTCAAAAGAGTATATAGTACCTTGTCAACTTTGCCAGCCGAAAAAGTTAGATTGCACATTTCACGAACTTAAATTTTACTATAAAGTTAAAGAGCATGCAAAAAAGATGAAATGCAAATGGAACTTAAAGTTCGAGAGTCCAATGTTAAAGGTTGCAACGGACTTTCCGATGCTAAGGGTCTGCTTCAGAGTTTTTTTCCATCGATTTTGACAATTTTGGGTAATCGGTGCTTGGTTTTAGGTGATTCAAAGTCAGCATTATGCAATTTTGACCGTATTTCTCGGCCTACCAAATTGGTAAATTTTGGCCATTTCTCAAGCTTTCTTCCAATTTTACCCTCTATAAAAAATTTTTTAACCTATATATTTTATTCAAAACTAACCTGTAATACATTAACTAAAAAAATTATTTCTAAGCAAAAAAAAAAAAAACTATTTTATAACTAAAAATTACTCATAAGTAAAAGTTTACTAGCTAATAAGATAAAAATTCACTTATAAAATATTAAAAGAATTACTTATAAGTAAAACTTTACTTATATACAAAAAAATTATTTAAAAAGTACAAAATTAATTTATAGCTATAAAATTTACTTATAAGTAAAAAAATTAATTATAACTTAAACATTTAATTATAAGTAAATATTTCTTTTTTAAGTTAAAATTAGCTTATATGCAAACTTATAAATAAAATATCACTTATGAGTAAAAAAAATCTAAAACAAGAAAATTCTAAATTGAAAATTTTAATAAGGGACATATATGTAATTATATTTTTAAAAAAAATATTTTAGAATTGTTGGATAATAAACTCTAAAACGTGGGTTGCACTATTTTATAAATCTGAAAACCATCCAAATTGAATTCCTCATCAATACTCAAGATCGATGCTTTAAAAAAAAGGAAAAAAAAAAGAAAGAAAGAAAAAACTCTGGTACCAAAACTCCCAAGCAGGCCATAAAGAACAAGATTAATTGCAAAAATTCTCCGAAAGAGAAAGGAAAAAGGATTGTAGCTTAGACCAACGCCAATGTGAGCACCATTTCACCATTATGCACCAAATTTTGGTGCAAAGTCACTCCCATGTAGACCAAATTTTGCACAATTTTACACCAAATAGTTCAAAGTCAATTTTGTCATTCTCTTTCATTTTCCAAACATATTAGTTAAGGGTATTTGTGTCATTTTTGTTATATATTTTTTAATACAATAAATTATTATTATTATTATTATTATTATTATTATTATTATTATTTTGAGCATTTGTAATAAATTTTAATAATCTAATCAATAATAGTTAATGAATTAATTAAAATAAGAATACTAAAAAAAATTAGGATGAATATACGAATTCCGAGAATTAAATTGCAACATTATTTCGACTTCATAATATTATGATATCAAGATTCGAAACACATTGCACTATTTTTNTAATGTAATCAATAATAGTTAATGAATTAATTAAAATAAGAATACTAAAAAAAATTAGGATGAATATACGAATTCCGAGAATTAAATTGCAACATTATTTCGACTTCATAATATTATGATATCAAGATTCGAAACGCATTGCACTATTTTTTGATGACATGATGTAATATTTTTTTTTATTCATGGTGTTTCTATGAATTGTACTGTATTTTTAAATTTTTTTAATGAATTTAGTTTTTTCTTTAATTTAACGTAATTATTTATTTAATAATTTATGTACTTGTAAAATAAATAAATTGTTAAGAATAAAAAAAATGAGGAAAACGATTATACACTATTCATTTGGCGTAAGTTTTGGCGTAATTAGTTTGACATAAGATTTGATGCAAAATGGCGTAAAATTTCTCTCAATAGTCCAGCGTTGGAGATGGCCTCGAAAAATTTGAACCCTTGTCTAACGAAAAAACGGAAGACTTTTACCACCAATCACAATGATATTCCTTTTAGTTGGCTACATTTTTAATTTTTCTTCAAATTCATTTTCACATATAAAAAATAAAAATAAATAAAAATAAAAATATAAGAAATTGGGGTCCAGGGCTCCATGGCTCAGCCCCGATCCACGTTGCACTTGTAGCCTCTACAGTGGGTCGTGCAAATTATTTTAGTTCGACATAAAAATCTTAAAGAATCTTAAATCTAATTCAATTGATATTTATTGAATAACCACCGAAGAGTTCTGTACACAATTTCACTGATTTTAGGATAGTCATTTAAAGAGTTTAGTAAAAGGAAAATAATATATGTACCCGGGGGTTTACACCCAGGGTTACTCGTCCCCACCGCCCCCCATACAATGAGGTGGGGCCCAAGGCGAATTAAATAATCGGCGGGCCGCCCATTGTGATGGGGGGCGTGGGGTCGGGTAACCCGGGGTGTAAACCCCTGGGTACTTGTTGCAAAACCCATAGTAAAATTTAATAGTGACTCACTTTCAGAAAAAGAAAATTAATAATGACTCTTAAAGATCCCAACAGAATAGCCACCTAACTTTAAGTAAAGCATTATTCCAATCACTCAACTTTATTTTGTTTCCGCTTGACCACTGTAAGTCGTCATATATGTCCTTGTTAGTTGAATCCATTGAAAATCCTATGGGAATAACGTAATGGATGACGTGACAAGATTTTTTTCTGTCGAAGCATAATGTTAGCACCTCGACATGAGGAGAATGTGCATATAAAAATAATTTAAAGCAATCAAATATACTATAAACATTTTCTCGTAAAGGCGAATGTGTTCACCTTGGAACACCAAACATTTAATCAAGTTGGAAACTAATTTGCTATAAACTTGAAATTTTAAGTAAGACTTTTTGACAAAAAATAGAGATTGAGAAAATGCTAATGTTCCTGAAATTATGTTCTCTTTGGAGATGAAAAGGCCTGAATATGCAAATTTCTTTAGTTGGAAATTTTAAAAGATTAGGTATAAGACAGCCTTTGATTGGAAACTTTGTCCAAGTTGAAGGATATTTACATGTGCATTCCACTACTTTTCTTGTTTGAGTTAATTTTACAAATGGTCATTGAAATACGACTAAAATTTCAAATTGGTCTTTAAAGTATTTGTTTGTTCCATTCAGTAACTACATTTCAATTTTTTCACATAATCGGTCACTATGTAATCAACATTCATTTTTGACTCCACTCCAAATCCGATGCAGTCCCGTTAAACCTGGAGATAGACAAACGATAGTTGTATCCATGTCGTGAAATTGCAGTTCTTCAAAATAAAATGTAGTTCTTGAACTAAAAAACTTTATATTCAACCAACAAATCACAAATTTCTCTCTTTAACTCTAACCCTGTTTTCGCAAAGTCGAAATAAAAGACTATTCGGAATGAATCCGTCTCTAAAATTGTCGCCAGTGCATGTCCAGGTTTAATTGCGTTCGGATATCATGTAATCAGGCTGAGGGATTTACAAATTATATAACTTTATTGGGTCATAAAAACACTTCAAGGACTAATTTAAAATTTCTCTTGAGTTTCAATGACCATTTGAAAATTTTAACTCTCTTCTTTTGCTTATCCATTCAAGCTTCCCTTGTCCTTTGTAAAGTTAGATGGGATTTTAAAATTCTTTTGATTCCTTAGCCAAGTCACTACTCCACCATTGACAACCTGCCCCACCTTGCATTCCCATTAAGTTCAAAAGGGCATATTATGTATGTTACACAGTAAATAAGAGGGTTGACAAAATGACTTTTGTGTTGCACACTGTTGGAAGTCATTCTTAATCAACCAACTGAACTTGAGAGAGCATTTGTCCCCACTAACAGCTGGTTACAAATCAAGAGTAGTCTAATCCTCAATGGAGATGTGTCGCATCTTGTATTGTACCCAATTCTGTCACTCATCTTGTCTAATATTGTCGAGTTAAATGTATCAAAGATGACATATCATAATATTTACGATTAAAATGAGTTAATCACGGGCCCCATATCATTCTCCTAGTTAATGAGATTTCGGCGGGGACTGGACCGGGCCCATTTAATTTGTTTATGTAAAAAAATTATGTGTGTATATATATATATTAGCCGGGCGTATAGTCATGTCTTGATTCCATCCCTGATTTTCGGAAATGAACTCGCTTCCCAATGTAATCCACATTTTTATTACTACCGTAGAAAATTAAATAACGTAAACTAAGCCTTTCTTCTATAAATGTGGGTAAAACGAGGCTTATAGTTGACTTTGTATTGATCATCCAATGGAAAATAACAAGAATCGAATAGAATGTACTATTTCTTTGTATTTGATCATCAACCGATATTTTCAAATACAATATATCTCAATATATAACGAAGCCTCTCTTACGTCACAACGTAAAATTAATTATATTGATGCTGAAAACTATTAATCATCGTTCGACTTTCATTTGAGCTGTTGGGAGAATCCCTGCATTAGAGACGAATAAGATATCGAATTCTCTGTCACAAGTAATCAATATAACTAACCATGAAAAATTTGTGTCTGATTTTGACCAATTCCCATCTGAACAAGGCTATGGAGATCATCATCCCAGAACGTTGAAACCTAAACAAATAATTTTTATTTTTCATTATACTGTCAAGTCATGTTGAAATACGCACTGAAAGTTAGTTCTTTACCACTTCATTAGAGTTGTTCACAGGAAGCTGCTGCTTGCTCTGAGTTCGACCAGTGGCATCATCGAAATGGTTTGTTGGGAAGGTTACATCCATTCGACTAGGGATGACACCATGCGAGTTATAGGTACGTGACAGTTGTAGGTTCTGATAAATTGATTGATACATCTGAAAATTGGTCCAAAAAAACAAAGTTATTAACAAAATTGAAGTCGGATTTGAGGAGAGTGACAATTTTATAAAATTTCGACTTACATCCTTAGACGAAAGAGCTTCCATATTTATTTCCATGGTGGGATGGACATTAGCCAATTTCATTGAAAGGAACTACATAATCAAATAGCTAAATCATTAATAACAAGTCCTTTTAGACTAGAATAAAACTGCAAAATAAATCTTGATTTACCTCAACTTGTCTCTGTAAAGACTGCACATAGTTTATAATCTCATCGAGCATAACAGCTTTTCCAGTAACCTACGAATAAATATACGATACTACTTCACAATTTCAACACGTGTAGAATAATAATCATGTACAATTCGCACGAAAATTGTGCGAATACCTTATTGCAACCTGGCACAAGATCTTGTAAGAGCTTCATTCTTTCGCCGATCTTCTCTCTTCTAATCTGATGACAGAAAATAACCAGAAATGAAGTCGAATAAGTAAGATTGTATGTACACAACTGGAGAAAAGCAGTATTTCGAGGATTCTTACTCTTTCAGCAAGACTATGGGCATCTGTAGCCTGGCCCCTTCTGGCTCTAACATGAATATAGTCCTTTGGAGGCTCTGCTGCACCTTGATCATCATTTGACTTGCTTCTTTTTGCACTTGGTTCACTATTTCCTGATGAAACCTGTATTAAAATAAATAAGAAAATTAACCAACAAAATCTACAATTCAGAATTCAAGAACTTTTGAAATGGACAAAAATTACATTGGCAGAATTCGATGAAGGGATTGCTTTTGCTTTTCCCCTTGGAATTGCTTTCCTCTTTCTGTCATCATTTGCACCAATTTCCCTACCTGGGATCTGTTCAGAGATCGAAGAATTCTCCCTAAATTCACAAAATTCTGCATTTTCAGGGGTACTGAATTTCTTATCACAAGTATAATTCTTGCCAGATTTCAAATTTGTTGCTTCATTTGATCTGAGTTGGGCACGAGGGGCCACTAATTTCTTGTTAGCAAAGCAAGAAAACCTTGCAGCAGCCCTGTCTGCAAATCCCAGATCCGCAGAAAATGGTTCTGAACTGGGAGAAGATGAAAATCGATTTCCATTTATTGGGAAATTGATCTGATGATCCAGCATTGACAGTTTGAGCTCGGGAAGAGAATTAACAGGGCCGCTATAGCATGAAGTACTAATATATGGGTGACGAGGCAAAATTTCTTCAGAATTGCCTATTCTACCAATAAGTTCTCTTACACCAACGTTGTCACCATTCGACGCAGCTGGAGAAGAAACCATTGAGCTGAACGCAGACTCAAAGGGATCATTTTGATTCATTGAATTGTCCCAATTGGGATTGAAAAAGCAACTCTCAAGTTGTTCTGAGCTACAATTCAGTTCATTCATAAACATATTTTGCTTCTCCATATTACACAAGAAAATATGCAACAGTTTTTGTGCCAGAGTTGTTAGAATCAGTAAAGAAAAAATTTGATACAAACCGCAGTAGCCTAATTGGAACATACATAAAATAGAGTTGTCTCTTTAACCTTTTTCAAATGACTCTCCAAGTCCCTAAACCTTTGTAACAATGCCAGGCCTGGCCTTAATCGTCAAACCAGCTGACATTTGTTTCGTCGGCATGTACATAATGATATACATAATAATTTATATACATTTGAAGTAGCGAGACATGATTGAGTCAAAATTTCTTCATCTGTGTATAAACCATTATACACAAGTAACATTATTCTTATTTTGTTATTGATGCAGCGATGGTGTCGATTATTCGTTGATTCAAAAGAATTCCGATTTTTTTATTGTTATTTATTTTGTGTTTGAATTTTATTTCTTGTACTGAGAGGAAGGCAGTGTGTGTTTTGGTGATGGCTAACTTTGGTTGCAGTGGCACACAACTGTCTGCTACACTGTCGCTATTTGTTTCCAACAATGATTGATGCAATATTAAAGACGGTTTTGGTGGGCAAAGTGTTTTTATCTCTTTTTTTATATTGTGTCCCCATGTGTAGTATGTCTTTTTGTGTGTGAGAGTGAAGTTCTTTTTATTATATTAATTCAGTTTAGTCCCCTTTTTTAGAGTTCATTTTTAATTATTAATAAAATAATTTTGCACTTGAATTCATAATATTTTCCTATTTTTTAACTATGCGTTCTCCCAAAAAGTTACGTTTTACCTAATTCATTTTTGAAAATCTGCACCAAATAGAAACTAGGATAAGATGGAGCCAAATTCTTTCACCCTTAAATAAGAGTTGAGGAGCATGGTTGATTCGCTTTCCTCGTTTTCAATTAGTTAAGACAACTAAAGTCTTAATGACTTGTCAACCTCTTATTTTATATTCTTTTTCCATGTGTATGTATGCATAAGAGGGATGGATAAAGCCACTCAAACAGACTTTTTTGACAGGATTTGGATACCAACATGACGTGGCAGATTGTGATTGGCTTGTTTGTTTAAAAAAAATTTCACCCTCCAATGAATTCTCTCCAAGTGTGTCTGTTAAGAGATCCCTGTCAACATTCCCTGTTTTTCTAGCATTGTTCTAAGAGGGATAGAAAATAGTGAATTTTTTTTTCCTTTTCGCGTGTGGATTAGCTGATAATAATGGGGAAAAAAATGGACAAGTTGTTTTCTTGGGGTAAATTTCATCCAATCACTGAACTTTCAGTGAAATCTAAATCGGATAGCTAAATTTTAATTTGTCACAATTGAATCACTAAATTCTCGATTTTGTTTAAAAAATTCACCTTTACCACTTTCTGTTATGCATTGTCACTCAAACAGATAGAAATTACTTAGTTAATAACGATACTGTAACTAATTTTTCATGAATTCATTATGTGGAATCCTAAAAACATAAATGGTAAGAAGAGATTGATGACAATGCCTTGAATTAAGATGCATGTCATTTAAGAAAAAAATCGAACACTTTATGATATGGCATAGTGGTAAATTGGTATGCCACACGATGATTACGTGGAATATTCATTGAGGTATGGTTGCTAATTAAGCATATTTCATCAATTCAAGGTAAAAGAAGTGATAGATTATGAAATCCGAAATTAAATTGAAATTCAACGACTCAGTTAAGTCATTGTTTGACAATTATTTTGAAAACTTTTTTTTTCTACATTCATTTTCAATCACACATTCACATAATATGATATTCTACACATAAATCCAAAAAAAAAAGGTATACTTTTTAATCACACATTCTCCCAAAAAATCATTATTCAAAATATTGTTTTGGCCAAATAATGGTCATCAAGAAGGGACTAAGACAAAATAAAATTTAGTTTAGGGACCCAATTGAGATTTTGCTTAAAGTTCAGTAACTGCAAATGAAAATTTCCCCATTTTCTTGTTTTAATTTTAATTTTTAAAATTTACAAAATTCTTTCAATTTTCCATTCGGTCCTTAATTTTCTAAAAATATTTCAAAACACAAAATATATCTCGAATGGAAATTTTAGCGACGGAGTGACGACAAAAAGGAAAGACTTGGGAACGACCCCATAGTAATTAAAAAATTTTTTTTGCTTCTTATCGAAAAAGAAATAAGAAATATGTAAGAAATACTAATGCTAAAAGGAAAAATGAAGTGACTGGATTTAGATTTTAATGAGTTTGTAATATACTAGTACATTTATGTTAATTTCATTCCACGTCATTGAACTTTTAACATGAATTCATCCAAGTCATCGAAGTCAATTTTCAAGCAATCGGATCATCAAACTTTTTACTACTTCAATTTTCGAGCAATCAGATCATCAAACTTTTTACTAAAGGTAGCCTAATGTCGCCCTCTAACGACTCTTTAAGTTTTTACTTCAATCTCCTTATTAAAAACAAGTGTGCTCTCCCAATCATCATCACTGTCATCTCCAAATAATAATTTCCTAGCCCCTTACTTGCCACACTAGAATTGAGTCTTGGAATCACCACAAAAGAAATAACGAATGATATTTGTGCATTGCCCTATTACTCGAGGTCAAGCGACAAAGGTTGTCTTGCCACCTCCTTCGGTAAAAATGTAAACTAATTTCAAAATAATTGGTTGTCTCAAAGATGATGCAAGTGTTGAGGAGTCGACAAATTAGTTTCACTTCTCAGACCGAGACTATGCAACTTGGGAAGAGTGCTTTAGTTTTCATCTAGAGCAGTGGCAGAGCGAGAATTTTGAGTTGGGGGCAATAAAAGTTAATGTAATAAGGACAAATTATGCAAATACTATAGGTTGGGGACTAAAAAGTTTAATGTTAAATGTCGAAAATGTATTTGATATATTTAAGGTTAAGGACTAATTGTGCAAAGATTTCAGGTACATGTGCAATTTGTTGTACTCGAATAGCTAAAATTCAATCTCAATGAAAAAAATTTCAGTTACACACTTGAAGTGGTACTTTTGCGAGAATTTTACTTTACATGTTTGACAAATCTTAAATTATAATTTAAGGTCGTCAAATACGCATCCACACATTCTTTGAACTCTCAACTCATTACCCATTTTTTTATCCACATAATTTGTGGGGCCCTTAACTTAAATTTTAATTTAAGCACTCTTCAAGTCCTTTTTTATTTTTCATGCACAAATTTCTTGTCATTTCATCATTTCCACAACCTTTTTCTATTAAGAGAAGTTAAAGGGAGGTTGATGGGAATTATAGTTTGAAATCAAAATGAAACTACTCCTTCCTACCCATATAAAGACATGTGGGCCAGGTAGATAACACAATTTTTAATATCTCCTACTCTTAAATGATGAGTTTGAATCTAAGTTTGAGTCACATTATTTTGGAATAGTAGATTGATGGAGAATGTATGGTTGAAAAAGAAGGAAAAGTTATCAATGTGATAGAAAATATTATTTTATTGAAAAATATGTGGTTGAAAATGAGTAAAAGAATGAAAATAAAAATTTTAATGTGACTTAAACAGGGACGAACGTATCAAATCTTATTTCACAAAATTCATAAAGATAAATAGATTATGTGACAAACAAATATACTTGGAAAGGAGCACACAATAGTATGCCAATTAGAGGTAATATATTGCCAAGAGGAATATAAATTTCTCTCTTGATTCCACACTCATTTTGTAGCACTAAGTCTGAACATCAATTGAAAAGTGAAAATCTGATGTTCTCTCAAGTTGTTGAGGAAAGAAGCATTAGTGCCCTTCCGTGGTTCGAGAGAGACATTAAAGGAAGGTGGTTTTGTTCGTCATGTGCAAGACGGAATCGGATTCAACGCTTGTAAAAAGTACATGGAACGGAAGCATCAAGGGTTGATTAAAGAGATAGGATGTACAGTAGTTAACTAACGAGGTTGGTTCTCCTCAGATCTGTTTCGGTACAATAGCTGAACAAATTGGTAACATCAAGCAATCTCAAATCATAAAACACCATCCTTTTTTCTTGTCAATTTGAAGTTGAACCTGTACTGTTGATACTAATTCCACCTACAATTGAACAAATCAAACAATAAGTTTATGGAATTGACAATAAAAGAAATCAAATGAAGAAACTAAATTTGAAGAACAATGAATTGCCCTTCTCTTAGGCTCAGAAATTCTTAATCCAACACCATAAAGGCAACACCAATTTGGAAAATCACACCAGCACAAAAGGCACATAGGCCAGAAGCTGGGTTTGAGAAATTGCACAGAGCAGGGACAGATTTTGGCACAAAACAAGAACCGATATGCTGCTTCTCAAAAGCACAAAGCAAATGATTGTTTGGTGTGATTAAATGAAGCCGAGAAGCTTCAATTTATAGGCAAAGGATTAAACTAATTTCTCCGGTTTTTCTCTCCAACGATAGATATCAAGAAAACTGAAAATGGTTACCAACGATAAGGATAGAGTTATATAATGTGAAAAAGAGATAAACATCACTTATCACATTATCTCCAATAATTGGGTATTGAGCGCCTAGTCCAATAAGCTGATTTTCTCTAATACCCAACAAGATTGGGCTACATCATTTGTGGTGTAGATTTTAATATTCTTCAATACCGGACTTATAGCCCATGAAGATAAACGGACTACGATTTTTCATCATTGCCTGGGTTATTTGAGGGGAAAGATCATAAATCAGACTTTAAGTTTCACAAATGCAAAAATCGGGTTTTAAATTTAAAAATGCAAAAATCAAGTATTTATTTATTAATTAAATATAATAATATATAATTAATGGTCACAAATACATAATTATAGGTCACAACTTTTATTAGTCGCATATTATCAAATTAAATGGTCACAGATTATTTCGATATCACAAATAAAAAATTTTATAGGTCACAGATTAAAAAAATT